TTGAGTTGAAAGCACCACTAAACTTGGCTCAGATGTTCTGGTGTTAACAGAAGCCAGCTTAGAGAAAGCACTTGAGAGAAGACATAAGTGGTGTCATTGGACATTTTTACACAAGTGCTGCAGTGCCAGCGCTTTGAACAGTGCCTGGTGCTGGGGCGCTTGCAGTTGTATAAGCAGTGAAATGCCTGTCAGCAGTGAAAAAATAGCAGCAGTGCACTTTTGAACTAAAACACAAAGCAGGTGCTTTAGTTCAGAAGCATGCTGCCACCATTTTCTGCAGACTGACGCGCATTTCGCTGTTTGTATAACTGCATGCAGCACAGCGCAGTGCGCTTCAGCTCAAGTGCAGAGCAGACGCCACTAATCAAGTCTGCTCTGAAGCAGTGGCTGTCTGGCGCATCGCAGGATGAAAAACTATGTGTATAAATGCCCAATATTCTTAGCTTCTTGGAGTGAACCTTCTGTTCAGAAATTGATAGTCTTCTTATTCTGTTAATAGGAACTCCCTGATGCAAACTTATAGTGAGTGAGTTCTTGTCCCAACATTTTATAAGCAAATTTCTTGAGATATTTTAGCATCTGATTAACTACTTTTGAACTATAAACTGTAGATATCTTGAATTATTAATTTGAACTCTCAACATGGATGGAAATATTGGCCAAGAATAGATATTGCATTTGTCCTAAGACGAGTTGTGCCTGTGTTTGTCGTGGAACAGAAGAGTCCTGGGATTGCTGTGTACACGTTGCCATGCCATTTAGGTTTTAATGAGCAGCTCAGTGTACTGCCTCTTTTCTGCCATTGATGCAATCCCAGAACAACCATTTAGAAGCACTTTGCCATGTCCTGAGACAAACTGTTAGCACTTTTTATCCCATGAACATTTTTAGTTTGTCCCAGAGCAACAGATATGGAGATCTGAATGGTTGCAATTTGTTCCAGGATAAAATGGTTACTCTGTAGACGTTCTCTGTAGACATACTGCAGTCTAGTGACTTTTATACTTTCACTTGTGAAAGAGAAACCGTAAGTAGTTACTCATATCCTGTATTTTCTTTCAAAAAACAGGTAGAGGGGTAACTGCAATACTTTGTCTTGTTCGAATATTTTAAAGCTTTACAAACAAAACAAACTACATTCTTTAGATGGTTCATTACTGATTTATTCTTTGGGGATACTGAATAAAGAATAGTTTGACATCTACTATAATTTTAAATCTCCATTTCAAAATAAAAATGCAAAAGTGTGCACTCCTGTTCTGCCCATCTGTCCTGTATGCAGATTGGTTTGGGCCTTAAATAGCTAGAATTGCACAATTGGTTTGTGCAATATTTGGACCATAGCATTTTGTAAAGCAGTTTAGAAGTAGAGTGAAAGTACATTCCCTTCCACAAGGTGAGCAGGATTTCTTATGCTAACGTAAAAATTAACGTAGGTAGTGATGACATAGTAGAGAATGTACTTGCAGCCTACAGTAGAGGTTACATGTTCAGAATGAACACTTAAGTATTCATTGAACAGAATTAGGGGTACACCGATAAATCAGTTGGCAATTGGACCGGCACCAATAAAAGGAAAAATAGCTTCATCGGCTTTTTTGGTTGTTGTAGCTGATGATTACCGCCATGGGCCTGGAGCACGCTGGTGAGCATTGTCTGGTCCCCTTGCTTTGCTGCCAGCCCCAGCCCGCAGCAGACTACAGGGCCCAGTGAGGAGGGGGAGGGGGTGCTGTACTTGGCAACAAAGGGACCATTATAGGGTCCTGCTGCTGTCACAGCAACTCCATGTGTGCAGCAAGGGCCAGAGCGCTTGGGTTGCTACAGAGGCATTGGGCTGTGTGCAGGTGGGGTAATGCCATGTGAGGGACGTTCCACTTCTCTAGGCACCAGGCGCCTTTGCAAAAGTGGCTTCTCCCTGGTGGCCATGGAACCTCGGCTATGTGGGGTGCACCAGAGGTGAGGCAGTGGCATGCGCTGGGCCTCCAAAGGTGCCCAGCACCACTGTCCACATAAGGGTCCCCTGCCTGCCCGGGACGGCAGTATGGGCTGCACGGGGTTTGGGACTGCAGGTAGGAGCCATGGGCGAGGGAGGCGATGTGTGGGAATAAGGTGGTCACTGCCTTCCTTACTGATGGCTGGAGCAGGCAGGAGGCATGTGAGTGAGTGAAATGTAGAACAAACAAAAAAAGGTTTATTTATGTCAGTAGGTTAAAGTACCTTGCACTATTACTAAATATAGGTTATCAGATCGGCATCAGCTGATATGGTTGGTTAATCATCAACTATTGGTATTGGCCAAGAAAACCTTTATCCATGCACCCCTAAACAGAATGTCTTAATTAGCAGCCATAAAAGATGGATTGTGGGCCTGGCACAGAACCTGTGAAGTAGGTGTTTGCTTGAAAGTTAAAGAAACAAATATGCACCTGGTTTCTGCTGGTCTGTTGTAACACAACCTGTTTCCAGAACACAGTTTATGTATTGAATAGTTTACATAGTGATAGTTACTGGTGGCTACTCTGTTTGCCTGACAATAATAATATTCAGGAGAGAAAAATAATTAAGAATATTTACTTAAAGTGTATGCTTTTTTTCTTTGATGTTATATATAGTATATAACAGAAATCAACATTTTAAAATGTATCAATAAACATGCTATAGTAAGTTTATGAAATGGTAATTCTAGTTCTTGTGCTCCTCTATCATTCTTTTTTGCCATTTTCTCTAAGCCTACGTATTTATGGTTATATAAAATGTAACACAGGAAAACTAATAAAAACCTGTATTGACATCTTGCCTTTCTGAGAACTCCATACACCACTGTAGATTAAGTAATATCAGAAACTTGTGTTATAGTAATATTTCTAAATGGTAACTATAATAGATATCCCAGTACTTCTTAGCTGTAAGCATTTTACATTGTTTACAGATTTAAATAAACACTATTCTTTTTGGGACTACAAAACAAGCCAGCAATAACTCTATTGCTTCAATTACAGTATGAATCCCTAAATGCATCTCCTTCCTAGAAGACTAGAGACAAAGTGTGTGTTTATATTTTGTTCAGCTAAAATGTGCTATAAATCTGCAATCCTTAAACTGTAAACCCTTATTCAAGGGATGATGATCACACGTTTTTACATATGGATACGTATGTTAACTGAAATTAAGATCACTTGATTTCTATGAACTTATTTATCCATTGTGGATAAATGGTACAGCTGAGATTATGTAGAAATTTTTTTTGACTGTTGCTAGCTCTATCTGGTCTGAATCAGGGCTTTACAGCGATTGTGCGATTGGACTGTTCATTTAGTTTGAAACCTGCTTGGGCATTGCCTATAATCCTGGCTGCGTGATGAATTTCTGGCCTAAAAGTTGCCTTCACCCTGTTATCATAGACCTGGTGATAAGGAATACCTTCAGCAATATATGGCTTCTTGAGAAAAGGAGAAGTCTTCCTAATTAGTTTAGTCTATTTTACATCACTCAAAACATTTTCCCTTTCTAAGCAAGTTAGTTTCTAGGATGCCACCCTGCCTTGCCTTTTGTCAAACAGAGCAGTTAAGGAACAGACTTCCTTATTTGCTATGAACTGTGAAAATGGAACTTCCCATTGCCAGTCGCACTCTTACACATCCACTTTTAAGGCATCTATCGCTGTGGCAGCTAATGCTTTGCAAGATGAAACACAAATTGGGTACATCTTTACATATGGTCCTGACGCAGCACTGGGCACTTTTAGTTAGTGATCTGCACTAAGTAAAAGCTCCTGGCGCTGCATCAGATACAGGTGGGTAAGTGGTGCAGCACATGCCAGTGCTGAGGAAACGGCAGTGGTATGCTTTAAATTAAAGCACATTGAATGTGTTTTAGTGCAAAGTGAATCACCCACCATTTTCTCAGCGCTGATGCATGCTGTGCTGCTTACACACTTATACCAGATGCAGCGCTGGGTGCATCAATTACATGCTCCAGCAGACTCGATTATTAGACGCAAAATCCAGCATGTTGCAGCAGACTTGGCATGTGTGTAAATGCCCCAACTTATAAGGGACTGTTGTAGCCATACATAGTGGAAATCTGTTCAGAAACTGGTAGCTGAGGACAAAGGAATAATTGAGTAATGCAACAATGCCATTAACTATGCATAACCATGGTACAGGATGCCAGGTTATTAGGTTGGTGGATTGTGGTGGTGATCAAGGTAAACAAAAATGGCTTTTGGGGGAGTGGGTTTCTAATTTGTTACGTAGGAAGGCTGTGACTCTGCTGCTACCTTTGGTTTCTTCTTAAGGGAAGATTAGTGTGGCTTTCCATTAGTGCAGAGCACTGTCTCACTAATGCAAGACCAGGGCTGTTGCTAGTCTTCTCCTGAGATTAATAAAATGCTCTTGGCCTGGAAGCCATTACAGATATAGACCGCGTAACTTCTTCCTCTTACGCCAGCAAGGTGAATGAACGCTACAAAGAAATATGCTGAATTCTTATTGTGAGTTTCCCCTTGTGAATAGCATACCCATCTTCTGGCTCCCAGATAAATACACAGAGTATATGGTCTTTGGATAGAATAATTAATTATAAAACCTTTTATTTTAATTGTACTAATTAACACTTATTTCTGGGACAGGTTTTTTTATTAATATTTTCCAGTAACCGTCACAAAAGTAGAATTTGAGAGTGTATCTTGCTTGTGTAGACTTTTATTTTGTTTAATCTTTAGAAAATTTGTTTGGGCAATAAAAATACAATAAAATTAAACTTAGTTAAATATTTAATATATTTTTTTTAAATTCACATCATATTTAATTTTTTTTTCCTGTCAGAGGATTTGTTCAACCCTGGATAAAATCTTTTTGGCTTTTGATTTCCTAATAATTTTGGGAAGTTGATGTAATCAAATCTGGTTATCTAATATTGCAAACACCAGCAGAGAATGGATGCATGCCTGTATGTAGCAACCAGGTTAATGTTATAACTGTGCTATGTTTTCTTGACAGAAACCATAGTCCATTGATGAGTTTTGGAGCCAGCTTTGTCAGTTTTTTGGTAAGTTTGTTGACAAAATAAGCAAAAAGTGTATTTGGGGAGCTTGAGGGTTTGTGGCTTGGTATCTTTGTCAGAAGTGGGTTGCCATTGAAAACCACTGTTATAAACTACAGAAAAGGCATTTTAGTTGTTTTTCTTTTAATAAATCTTACCTCAGGCCAGCATTAGGAAAGTCTTGTTGGGTTTGCTTATCCAAGCTGATATACTGAATCGGTGGAACATCACCACACAGTATCCTTGTATCTTGTTTCTTAAAAAGCTTCTGCTTATTTAATGTTCTAAAGATAGCTGCAGTACTTATATGCTTGTCGTTCAGAACTTCCATTAGATAAAGCATTAGAAAAAATTGGTTGTTCTTAAGACTCTGTTTAGATAGATTCAGTTAAAGTTAGTGATCCTTTTATCAAGTAATACAATGTATCTGCTTATTGCCTATTAGACTGTAGCCTTTTAATTAATTAATTAATTAATATTTATTTATTTGACTTTGAGGCAAGTTATGTATGTGGTTAAATATAAAACAGTATCTGTACAGAGATAAACTGTGCTGGATAACAGTAATTGAAAGTGAACTTATGTAACTTACATTAGATAAAAAAAGAGAATATGACAGCATTTTCCGTTTGTTTTTTAAATATCCAGTTTCTTTTAGAGAGAGGAAGTCAGTTAATAAGCCTGATTTCAGTTTCTTTCAATTTCAGTAAAGCATACAAGCATAAAAACCTAAGCCTGTATGTTTATTAGTATGTGTGGTAATACATATATGTGTGTGTGTATATATGAATGCAAACTTGGGTACCAGTTTATCCTCAGGTATTGTTATAAAAGAATTTAGTATTTCTATGTAGCTATTATAGCAATAGCAGACTTACGATTTTTTGTCATTTTTCATTTGTATGTTATTTTTGGAAGAATGCCATGATGACATTTGAAGAAGAAAAAATGCAGTTAGCATGTGATGACTTGAAAGCAACGGAAAAATTGTGTGAGAGCGAAGAAGCTGGAGTTATAGAAACAATCAAGAATAAAATTAAAAAAAATGTAAGTGCAGCATCTGTAAAATGTGTGTGATGTAAGTGTTTTTGAAAACTTCCTTCTAGCTTTCTAGTTCTCATTTGGCATTTAAAAATAGATTTTTGCAGCAGAGTTCTTTCTAACATCTGAGTTGTGGTTGAGAATACTTTGGAGTAAAGACAGCTTGGCAGACTGGGTGGCCTTTTTTAAAGGGCTTTGCCACCCTGAGAAAATCTACCCAAATTCAGCCAAGTTTAAAAGTCTTTGAAATATTTTAGTTTGCACTTTCTTAGAGATTTCTTAGACTTGTGATTCAGTTCTCCAAACATTTTTGTCCATACTGAGATGAGTTGTACTTCCTCTGCAATTACCACTCCAGGATACTGTGGGGCAAGCCAGGCTTCAGACACTGGATCAAGATTCAGCCTGTTCTCTGCTCTCAATAACCAGTCTTCTGAGGCCCAGGGAGAATGGAGGAGAAAATGTTCTTATTTGAATCCAGAGGATGATTCAGCCAGGTCTGTGGGAGGGCAGAGGGAGAAGATTGGGACAAGGAGCCTTTGGAAAGGAAGACTGGAAGCTGAGATGGAAAAGGGGCTGGTTGAGCAAGGAGACTACTCTGTGTATAATCTGAATGTGTATCTGGGGGAATTCTCCCAGGTTTGTTGTTCTGGTAGAGAAATTTAACCGGAGTCATATGTACAGACTTCTGAATGCTGAGACCCTGAAGAGTGGAGAGCATGCAGTGCTCACACTGTGTAGCCAGAGGGGGCCCTTGTGCACGCATCTTAATATGTTCTGTGTGCTCCCTTAGTTTGCCTGGTAAGAGATGGTAGCAGTGCATAGGGCAGCATTATTTTGTGCAGTTTTCACAGTCTGTTTATAAAGGTAGTACTGTTTGAGCATTTTGGGGGTGGAGGAGGTGGGGGAGGAATCTACAGGATATGGCTGTGCTAATCAAGGTCAATCTTGCCAGGTGTAGTGGGCATAGATTAATCTATAAAATTCACAGAATTTTATATTGCTACTGTTAGTTGTTTACAATTATGATTTTTATAAAGAATGTGTTGAACCACCAACAAAATCAAACTTGCCTGAAAAATAGAAGTCAAAATGTCGGTTATGTTTCTGTAAATACTTTGAAAAATCATAGGGATTTAATGTAGTTTTAAAAAGCATTTTATTTTTTGTTGTTTTTTTGCATGCAGGTTGATGGCAGAAAATCTGCACCATCCATGACTGATCGACTTCAAAGACAGATAATTGTAGCAGACTGTCAAGTTTACTTGGCTGTGCTTTCTTTTGTAAAACAAGAATTGTCAGGTGTGCTGTAACATTAATATTGTATTCTTTAACTTTTTTCCATGGCATGTATAGTAAATATTAGGGTATCACCAGGGATCTGAGTTTTCAGTTTCCAGTGGATTTTCCCCTTTAAAGGAGAAAATGCTGATCTTCCCCTTTGAAGCAGGAAACCATGCGTTTCCCCTTGCAGGCTGTCAGAGTTCCAGCCTGTAATAAGCTGCTTGGAGTTGGGGGGAGCAGGGCGGCGGTGATCAGATGCAGGGGGCTGATCACGTTGCTCACACTGGTAAAGATAATGGTTTAGTGAGAAAAATAAGCTACGTTTGAAACAAGGGTTTCATAAAATTACTAGTGTAGCCATTGTGTTCTTAAAATATATATATTTGTCTGCTTGGATTTAAGCAACCCAGTAATAGATGTTCAATAGTTATGTAATTATACCTCTAGTAATGCAGATGGAATGTTTTCCAGATGAGTGTCATGAAAAAGGATCAACCTGCCCCTTTTCAAGGAGAAGGGGAAAGCTCTTTCTTGGGAAACCTTGGGAATAAGAAGCAGCCTTATTCAGTTTACCTTTCCTGAGAGGACACCCTGCACCTAGCCCTTCTGCGGATTCACAAGAGTCAGGCTTCTGGCTTTGAGACCCTGGCTCTTTTCAGTCCCTGACTTCTCCGGTGACCTGTAGCACCCCCATCTCTGAGAGCTGCTTATTTTTGGTCAGCTCCTGGGGAGGAGGGAGTGTTTTCTTCTTTTAAAGAAGAGGGGTCAGAGTGCTCGCATCCCAAATGGCACAGCAGGCTACTTCAAAACAGCCAGTCCTTGTTATGCCACTCCAATTCCCCTTTACCTCACTGGCCAGGTCCAGACACATCTGCAGTGCCACATACTGCATGTTCAGCTCTTTTCTGCACTGCAAGGGAGCAGTGTCAGGGGGAGGGGAGGAGGGGGCTGGGGCTTGACCCCTGGATATCCATGGGGTCAACAAAAAAAATGGAGCGGTGCACGTGCGGACAGTATGTGCAGCTCAAAACTGGAGCCTGGACAGCTGGAGCTGTGCTGCAGCTGCCAGCCAGGCTCTGCACACCGGGATTGCCACTGCTGCAGCGCTGGGAGGCCCCCAGGACCCTGGGTAAATGTTCCGATAAGTGCTGGCCCCAGCCTGTCCTACCCCACTGGGGTAACTTGCGGTGCGCCAAAGGGTGCATGGTACAGATGTTCCCCAGGGACAAGTAGTGGCGATACAAGGTGCACTGCTGCTATTTGTTCCCGGAGAACCAAACGTCCATGCATGTGTGGATGTGGCCACTTGGACTTTATTCTGCCTGCCCTGGGACCATTTCTGCTGCCTCTTCTCCTTTCTTTGAGAGCAGTCACTTATTCTCTTCAGGTAGTCAGCCACATTTACAACACAAACAGTTACAAAACTATAGTCTTACTTTGGGACAGCAATCACCCAGTACAATGAAACAAAGTCATGGGGACTGAATCAGGAGGCAGTCTCTGGGTCCTGCTGCTAGCCCAGACTCCCATTTGCCCCTGAGGTGGGAAGGGTCACATATTCACAGTAACATGCTTGCACTGAGCCATCCCACAAAAGCATTCTCAGTAAGAACTGCAGGCTTCAACTTTGCCTACTTAGCTTCCTTTGTTACAGTATATTCTTTATGTTCACTGAATGTTGTTGCTGCCTTGTAAAATAAACAAGGAGTACAATTTTATTTTAGGATTGTTATCTCTAGTATCTTTTTTAGAAATGTACATTAATACAGTAGGACTAAAATAAGGTTCAGTTGATTGGTATAATGTAGGGTAGGGGTCAGTAACCTATGGCAGATGAGCCACATCTGGTAGAACACAGCTATGCTGAGCTGGCTGTCCCCTCCACAGGCCTACCTGATGCTCTCTCATGCCTTTTACTTATCTTTGTTGCAGAGGGGCTAGGTGTCTGCAGCGAGGGTGCACAAAATCAGGTTGAGCTCGCTGGAGCAGCAGAGATTTATGACCCACGTTGGCCAAAGCTTGTGGACCCCTGAATTAGGGTTTTCCACTTTCCTCATACCAATACTAATGTTACTTGTTCAGCTGGTCCTAATTTGACATGTCCCAGAAGCCTTTGTACAGGAATTGGAGAAAGTATTTAAGATCTGAGCATGTGAGTTGGATTAGCTGTAAGCACAGGAAAATTGTTTTCTGTAGAAATTCAGAGAATGTGGGGGAAAAAGCTGGCATCCCCTGTGCCCAGGCAATAGCTGACAACCGTGTTCAGAATACGAGGAAGATGGCAAATTGCTGAACAAAGTGATTTTGAATTAACTCCATGCAAAATGGCACTGTTATCTCAGTCTAAGCCATCACAAGCATGTTTGTCTGACCTGCATTTAAAAACTTCCAGTGAGAGAGATTCTGCTGTCTCTTCCCACTACTTAACCACCTTGATATCTGGATACCGTGGAATCCAGATACTTTGCAAATTCTTGTCTTTGCAAGGGGGTAGGAATCTAATCCTGCAAAGTAACCTGAAGTTTGCAGAGCTGCAACAAATAGCTCTGTAGGACAGCTGAGATGCTCCAGATGCTTGTTGTAGCTTTTGATTTCAAAGGCCACTGTTTTTATCAGATGTGTGGGACTGCTTATGAGCTTCAGCTGAATAGAGAAGCAGCACCTTTGAGTAAGGGCTGCAGCAAACAGTTGTGTGACTTAATTTGGTAATTTGCTGCAAATTAAGTTGTTTGCAGACTACATAGATAAGAAACGTGTGGGTTTTCCCATACTAAAAATGAAAAAGTTGAATAATTTCTATTGGACTTAGGACAGAGAGGCTAATACTGATTTAGGTTTATGACCCTCTTCTGGTCTCTGCTACAAAACTGTTTCCAGTTTCCGTCCACTCCTTGAGTCTTTTTGTAATCTAAAGACATTCCTTCACCTGTTTGTTCATAGAAAAAATGTCTACTGATATATTTCTATTTAAAGACCAAGAGAAGACTGTTGGAAGTAATTGACCAACAAAAACCAAAACAAAACAAAAAACCCCAATGTAGGGAAGTAACATCCAGATCACAATAAAAAATGGTTAAGAACGTGGTATCTTTTGTCATGTAGAGATTTATTTTCTTCAAAAACATAAATTTTGTTTTTTGGCAAGATATCTGGATGTTTTCTTGGAGAGTAAAACAAATTAGGCAAGTAAATTTCAGTTATCAGCTTAGGGCTGGAAAATCACTGACTTTGCAAAACAGTTTGGTGGCAGCTGTATGAAAAAGTGTAAGTGCTGGAAAATACTTACCACCTGGTAACCCTTTGGGCTAAAGGCATTCAGACTTTTCCAAACATACATTTGCTATATTCATCTATAACCCCCCCAAAAAATGAACTTAGTGATCTTGTGTGTTTGTCTGCCTTCTAATGAAGTCAGCTTACTTCCAACAATTCACATAGCATTCCTGTTGGAAGTTAAAACTACTTGTAATTTACCATGACTGCCATAACACTTGTAATAGAAAAATAGGACTGGAAGAGGCTTTCTAATATCTGCCTTCATAAAAGGCACCGTCATTTCTGTCTAAACTATCATAGGTATATATTTGTCTGACTTCTAAAAATTTCCAGTGAAAGAGATTCCACAATCTCTTTAGTCTCTTCCCAGTACATAATCACACTTATAATTAGAAAGTTCTTCTTAATGTTTACCAGTCACCCATGTTGCATTTTAAAAGCATTACTACTGTTCCATTCCATGTGGACACAGAACAATTGATCACCATCCTTTTTATATCAACCCTTTGGTATCTGAAAACTGTTATCAAGTCCCCTGTTAGTCTTCTCTAAATAATCCGTTTTTCTGGCCTTTCCTTGTATGTTATGTCTTCTAGATCTCTAATATTTTTTTTCTTTGGACTTGCTTCAGTTTGTCCACGTGTTTCTTAAAGTGGGTTGCCCCAAACTGGATTTAGTGCCACGTGAGGTCTTACTGAATGCTGAGTAAGTGGTGATAGGGGTGAATATTGGGGAGTCTCAAAATCAAGATTGTACCCAAACAGTTAAGTAGTTTGCATTTATGAGAGAGAGAGAGACTGAGATTTATGGCTTTAACATGTCTCACTATACCATATCAAAGCATACATTATTTTAATAGTGAACTTTCGGAAAGGCAGCATATTGTGTGTGTGTGTATATAATGTGTGTATGTGTATATATGTTCAGTGTAAAGAAAATAGTCTTCAGTATCTA